TTTTATTTGATATAAAGATAAAATATTAATTTAACTTTATATCCCGAAGCTTCTCACTCATGATATAATAAAATAAGATTTGTTATTGATTGTCTCAATATATACACTAATCCATTCAAATTCAACGTAACACCGCCTTTTTCTTAACAACATCCTGCATGATCATTAATTTATTTTGAATTTTGAACAAAAAAAAAACCATTATCTCCTTAAAGAGTATCTTATCTATGTGTATTCTTTAGGAGTGCAAGACTAGAAGATACTTATGATTAAAAAATTATTTTTAAAATCAAAAAAACTATTTAATAAAACATAATTTACTAATTTTAGCGTAACAATAAATATAACAAAGTTAGAATTCAGAATTCATAAATTTTAAATCCGACTGTGTGGGGGAGTGAGAGGGAAGAAGGAGAATGAGGAATTTTAAGATGATGTGTGTTTTGTCTGCATGCGTTAGTAGAATAGATATTTTACTAGGTACGCATTTATGTTTGTACACCAAAAAAAAAAGAAGTGAAGAACACAAAGTTGAGGTCCTGGCCTTATCTTCATGTAACTTCTCTTCTCTTTTCTTTTGATGCATTTCGTTCAATCTTGCACTTACCAAAACCCCAAGTTACTGTTTTCTTGAATTTTGAACTCTACTTTCTTTGTTTTTCATTCATTCATAGTTTCTTGAGCTCTGCAGCAGAAAAAAGTTTACATTTTTTTATGTGTTTGGACTCTGTTAGCTGGACTGAGAACTTAGATGGAGTAGTTGTCACTGAAATTAAAATTGGAATGGTTTGTCTCTTATATAGTAGTTACCACTTTTGTCATTCACCCTCATGTACTGCCTGAGTTTCAACATTTCCATCAACTAAGTAACAATTTTCTCAGAAATACACCATGAAATGTTAATTAGACTGATTACTGAATCACAGCCCCTTCTTTATGTGAGTATCTTCTCCACAGCCTAAGAATACTGGTGAGGTACTTGGTACCTGTTGGTGGTGGTAGGTGATAAACACTTTAGGCTATCAAATTTTTAATATTTTTGACAACCTTATAGGAACTTGCTAGGAATTAGTTTATGTTTGATGTGTAGCCATTACATTGCATCATGTAGCAACAAAATCAGTCATGTGCTGTCTTGTTTCTGATATCAAGCATGTGTTACCTTGGGCTGACAAATTGTAACAGTCTCTAAGGTCTGTTCATGCGTCCTGTGACGCATTTTGGAGCATAGGACTAAACAATTTTTCATCTTCGGAGCTGCTATTGTAGGTTGGTCTCTAAATGTCCGCTGAATCATATCCTTTTTGAACCAAGAATCAGTAGAGGCGGATTCAGATGGAAAGCAAGTGCCTCCAATGAAGTTCCTGTTGAGAAGTGGAAGCAAGATAGCATTTTCATTGATAGACGCGGCAGATTTAGACAATTTGATCACAAAAAAGTTTCACGGAAAAGATGTAGGTTGATGTATAATGGCAATAGTTACATATATGTGTTTCTACATCCTGATGTCAAATTCATGACTATTGTGCAGGTGGTTCTTTAAGGGGCAGAGGATGGAAATATGGATCTGGTTTTGTTGATGGTATATTCCCAGTTCTAAGCCCAATTGCTCAGCAAATTCTAACTTTTATAAAGACGGAAAAAGATCCAGAGAGGATTTGGTCTTCCTTGGATACTCTACGTCCCACCAATAACACTTGGGATGATCTAATCAATGTAGCAGTTCAACTTCGACTCAACAAGCAATGGGATCTGATCATACTGGTAAAGATCTTGTGTCTATCGCGCCATTGATTCATATTCTGTCATTGTTCAATTGTCTGTGTGTCCACATATTTATCTCTCAGATTGTCTTAGGATAAGGTTGTATGACTACTCAATTGTCAATAGGATAAGTGTGCTATGTCACTAACTATCCAATCATTCCAGCGTACAAGATGAAGCCTCGCTTAAATAAGTAATACTTCTTTGCAGATGTGTGAATGGATACTGTGCAGGAGTTCCTTTCAGGCAGATGTGATTTGCTACAATTTGCTCATAGAAGCTTATGGGCAGAGTTCACTTGTTAAGAAGGCAGAATCTACTTACCTGGCACTTGTTGATGCTCGATGTGTCCCGACTGAAGATACTTATGCACTTCTCCTGAAATCTTATTCGAAATGTAGGATGATAGAAAAGGCTGAAGCTGTCTTCTCTGAGATGCGGAAGAATGGCCTTCCTTCAAGTATGTTTTCTTGTTTTCTATTTCCTGTTATACATACTATAGAATCAAATGGCATAATAATCGCAATGCTATGTTAGTGGAAACTTATAACTACTTTCTCTTGGGCCTATGTAAGCTCAATCTCAGCACCTATTGGGTCTAAACCATGCGTAAACTATATTTCTTAAAGTTTCACCAAAAGCTAAACGATATGAAAACTTATATTGCCCAATCACTTAGTGGTGACTGTAGGTATTCTGTTTTGCTAGACTTGTTAGCTGCCTTAACAGTTCTCATAGGTGACTGAAGAAAGGTTCACTATTCTGCCCACACAGATGGAAACAGATGATAAATAGAAGTTAGTTGGATCAACCTTTTATGCAGTCCATATACTTTTCAAGACTCAGCAGAATATGATCTTTCAGCCATCTGCAGGTGCTCTTGTATATAATGCTTATATTGATGGGTTAATGAAGGGAAGAAATTCGCAAAAAGCATTGGCAATCTTTGATAGGATGAAGCGTGAAAGCTGCCAACCATCTACTGATACTTATACAATGCTGATCAACTTATATGGGAAGGTAATACAAGTAGTTAATTTGACTCTTTATATGCTAGTACTTCAAAATAATTCCTGGTGGAATCAAGCTGATAAATTTGATTTATAGACAGTTCATGTGCTAACTCAAGATTTCTATGATGATGTTGCTCCATCTATCTGTCCTTGTGTCTCAGTTGATTGAACAACTTATTCATTATGCAGGAAAATAAGTCCTACATGGCGCTAAAGATGTTCAATGAGATGAAAGCTCAGAAATGTAAACCTAATATCTGTACCTACACAGCTCTTGTAAATGCATTTGCGAGAAGTGGCCTATGTGAAAAGGCTGAAGAAGTCTTTGAAGAGCTACAAGAAGCTGGGTTTGAGCCTGATGTTTACACCTATAATGCCTTGATGGAAGCTTACAGGTGAACACCACTAATGTTTCACTGTTGGACTCCTCTTTAACCATAATAATTGTCAAGATAATCACATCAAACTCATCTTCCATTCCAGTATAAGCTTTAGATCATTATATAAGCTGTACATCAAGCCCTCTTTAACATTTACATTCTTCTGTAGGTCTTTGTAGGGTTATGCTTCTCTTCCTCTAGTTCTTTCTCTGACAAATTTTCTTATCTAAAGGATCTGAATTGATGTTATCGTCTAACAGTCGTGCAGGCTACCCTCAGGGTGCTGCAGAGATCTTTTCTCTCATGCAGCATATGGGCTGTGAACCAGACACAGCTTCATACAATATCATGGTGGATGCCTATGGAAGAGCTGGTCTTCATGAAGGTATTTTTTTTCTCAATGTTAAAAAGGTGTTTCTCTTGCATTTAGTGAACAGAATAGTTTAAGCTCATCTGGACAGCATGATAATTGCAACTTCTGAATGCATATTCATATAACAACCTAAATAAGGGAAGTTTTCAATATGAAACTGATGACAAGTGAAAATGAAAAGTTCAAGAAACAAAGTGCTCTCAACGGTCTCAAGCGATCTATTTCTGTCGACAACAAGTTTAGTGTCCACGGTCTTGTTCAATCCATATGCATTTATGAAAGTTTTCTGACTGTATCTTTTCATTTATCTAAACAATATATACTAGATGCACAAACTGTGTTTGATGAGATGACGCGGCTGGGGATAGCTCCTACGATGAAATCCTACATGTTACTCATATCAGCCTACTCTAGAAACAGTAACGTGTCAAAATGTGAAGAAATCGTGAATCAGATGCAGAAATCAGGAGTGAAACTAGATACCTTTCTTCTTAACAGCATGCTCAACTTGTATGGTCGTCTTGGCCAGTTTGCTAAAATGGAAGAACTCTTGACTGTCATAGAAGCTGGACCATACGTAGCCGATATCAGCACCTACAATATCTTGATCAATGCATATGGACGTTCAGGATTTATCGTAAAAATGGAAGAAGTTTTCCAATCACTTCCTTCTAAGAACCTGCAGCCAGATGTGGTTACATGGACTTCCCGTCTTGGAGCATACTCCAAAAAGAAACAGTACCAAAGATGCTTAGAAATCTTCGAGGAAATGATCGATGAAGGTTGCTATCCAGATGGCGGAACAGCCAAAGTGCTCCTTTCGTCTTGTTCAAGTGAAGATCAGATTGAACAAGTTACAACAGTCATTAGATCAATGCACAAGAATGTGAAGACAGTAGAGTTAGTTTGACATGGCTTGTACAGCTTTCATGACATTCCCATATTTGATGTGAAAGTTAGAACATGGACATACCGGCAAAATCGAAAGTAAAAATTTCAACTTAAAATCCAACTGTACTTGGCTTGATTCGTTTTTTACATTTTGCAAGCCATGATGATTGATTTGGTTCAATATTAGGTGAACATTGACCCAAACGGTACTCTTGAACACCATGTTCAATCTTAGGTAAAAATCGAATCAAACAACGCTTTCAAAGTTAGAAAGAGAAGAGTGTCTCCCCTCCCTCCTGTTTTTTTTCCTAAAGGCAGCTCCAGTATTAAGAACGTATGCAACAATCAACAACCAAAAACCCAGTATAGTCCGACAAGCGAGGTCTAAAAAGAATAGAGTATACGCAAACCTAACTCCTACCTAGCGAGGGTAGAGTGTACTCAAACACTCCTGCCAGCAAAGATGTAGAAAGGACAGAGTCTACGCAAACCATACTCCTACCCTCCATGCAAAGAGGTACAGAGGTTGTTTCTGAAAGACTCTCACGTCAAATACGCAATACATAAGTAATATGGCCATGGCAAATAAAAGGGAACCCATAATATAGCATTCAAAAGCACAGTAAATTACAAGTGAGAAAAATCACAAGACAGACAACTACAGGAAAAATGCTACTGAACAGAAAAACAAGTGCAATGCACCAACCTATCACCAAGCTTAAACGCTTGGAAACGAGACAACCCCATGTACTGTTCAACCACATCTCCCAATCATGTAACAATAATCTTCTCGAAATGCATAATTAGTACACGAAACTGTTCATGTGCGCCTACGCCTTACAATCGACTCAATATAAGCAACTATGGGCAGATAAATATAGTACAATACATCAGTGTTAACAAAACACCCTGGGATTATTCATGCTATTGCTGTTTCCTTCTCCCTCCAAGTTGCGAGGACCTCATCAGTTCTAAACCGTTGAGTAAACGTTGATTCCTCCATTGGAGTTGATGCACCATTCGCATACTCTAGGAGACCGGTATAAGCAATCATTGCTCCATTGTCAACGCAGTATCTATCGTCAGTTGCAAACAACTTTCCGCCCCTCTCAGAGCACATAATTTGCATCATCTTTTGCAAGCGCTCATTACATCCTACACCACCAACAATCAACACGTCTTTCTTATCGCAATGCGCCATGGCTCGTTCTGTAATCTCTACAAGCATTGCAAACAGAGTTTCCTGTAAAGAGAAACAAAGGTCAGCCGGACTGCACTCGTTATTTTTCAGCTTCTCCTCAGCTGTGGCTTCAATGAAGCTCAGTATTCCACTGAAGGAAATGTCCATTCCCTTCACAACATATGGAAGTTCAATGAACTTCTCACCTTTTTTCGCAAGCTGTTCAATGTTGTACCCAGGGCTAGGATCATTAGACAATGTAAGAACCCTAGCAAACCTATCCAAACAATTACCCACTGCAATATCAATCGTCTCCCCAAAAATCCTATACCGTCCTTCACTATACGCAATAACCTGAGTATTTCCACCACTCACGTATAGCACAACCGGATCAACCGCCCCGGTTACGATTCGACCCATTTCAATGTGCGCAACACAGTGGTTCACCCCAACAATAGGTTTCTTCCATAGCTGAGATAGAACACGTACAACCACTGCCGAAACCTGCAGTGGAGCACCCATCCCAGGGCCTTTTGTGTAGCAGATACAGTCAATTTCATCGGGAGTTACTCCGGCGGTTTCTAGAGCGGATTTTACTAACGGTAAGATGTGTTGGTGGTGATGCTGGGCGGTTTCACGGGGGAGAAAACCTTGGCCTGGTGGCGTTATGTAGGTGTGTCGTGGATTAGAAAGAATTGTGCCGTCGATTGCTACTACGCCGACGCCAATTTTGTTGGCGGAACCCTCGAACCCTAGGGCTATCAATTTCTTATCCTTCATTGCCGCCGCCGTCGGAGGATTAGGGTTTAGCAGTCAAATGAGCAGTGACGATAAGGGTTTGGTCTCTCTTCTCCCAGAAAATTGGACTTGTTTAGGGGACGAGGCCTAATACTTTTCCTATATTACACTTAAACACCTCTATACTATAGCTTAATTACAAATCCACATTTTATATTTTATAATCAACAAAACAACATATGTGGTGAATTTCGACTAGTGGAGTCTCTGATAGGGGTTGGCATTCGATATTCGGTTTCAAATTTTGAGTTTGTTAATATCATTGGTAGTTGAAAGTAGATATCAAAATTTCAAATTTTTAAAATTCAATTTGGTAATTTGATAATCGGCAAATTAAGTTTTAATTTTGTGCGATACTCGGTTATACTGTATTGAAGTTGTAGCTGATTGTATTATGAAGTTAATACTATTTTTTCAATTAATTTTCTTTTTAATTTGGAGACATGATATAATAGAAAATCAACAAGCAAGAAGACATCAAAAAAAGCAATTTGATTCAATTAAAAGACATATGTATTTGACTTGTATGTTTATTCTTTTACTTTCTCATTGAACTTGTACTAATCATATATTTATATAAAAGAGAACTCTAGGCCCGCCTACGTGGCGCCACCACAAGTAAGAATTTCCTTTCAAAATTATTTATTTCCAAAACTAGCCTTCCTCTTTTATAAAAAAGAATTTGACTTTTATGAAAAGTAGCAACTTAACTGAAGAGTTGCGACTTTTATGAAAAGTCTGACTTTAATGAAGAGTTGCGACTTCTTTCAAAAATTGTGACTTTAATGAAGAATTGCAACTTTATGAAAAGCTGCGACTTTTATGAAAGGTTGATTTTTCTCAAGGGTTGCAATTTTTTCAGATAATTGTAACATTTTCGATAAGACACAATAAACATTGGTTCACACTACACTTTTTTGTCTATAAATGGAGGAATTTCCTCTCATTTTAAAACAACAAAAGATTTGATCTTCTTTTTCTACTTCCGCAAAGTTAAATATTATTGTGTTTTGCTCCTGTTGAGTGACTTACTAACACCATTATTTTGTATCAATAAGTTAGTGAATAAAAAACGTTCCATTCTTAGATAATGTAATTCTTTAAACTTGTGGTATTGGAGGGGAATAAGTGAACATTATGCATTCAGTGGACTCGATTTTTTTCTTTTTATTTCATTCTATTTTTACATATACTGGTATGTTTTTTATACTCATTAATTTATGCATATGATATAGATTGTTGTTTTTAATACATGTTTTAAACTCTATTATTTATGTTTCTGCAAAGTTATTGTATCCGATTATATTGAGCATATACACATTTAGTACATATATTCATTGTGTAGAAAATAATTATTGTACTCAGTTCCAATAATTCATATTTTGATATTCTATATTAAATTCTATAACTTAAAGTGCTATATGTAAGCTTACATATTATTTATTTTTACATGGATATGAAATTTCTGATTTATCAATTGAAGAAATTCATTATGCAAGTTCAAAAGTTATAATTGTTTTCATGTTCAAACTTAATTTTTTTTTTTGAATATGTTAACAATTTTTTGAATTTTCTCCTCAGACATATATCACAATTGTATAATCTATGCAACTTAATTGTTTCCTTTTCTACGAAACATCTTTGTATATATATTCTTATTTTCTTCTTTATTTTTCTTTTAAATGTTGATTAAAGAGCCAATGATTTATTATTTCGTAAATAATGTATTCATTAGAGGTTCTTGAGTTATGTGATAATGACAAATAATCAAATTCATGTTGGAATATTGCTAATATTTTTTTAATAACCTATTTTCCATTATTTTTAATTATGATATTAGTTAAAAATTATTTGCAAGTTCAATGCAATTATTATTTATGACGGTGCAAAAGCGTGGCAAATTACCTAATGAATAATAAACATGTTGATAGTGACTTCATTAAGTAAATAATCAAGAAAATATCAAATATCAAATGATTTTAATGTCTAATACCAAATTCAAACCCAAATATCATAATTCTAAAATTTTACTCTCGGATAGCATATTAAATTTCGAGTTATCGAATATCAAATCACCAAAAAATTTGGTTCGATTCAATAGTTTAATTTTTGATATTTTATGCTCAATTTTAAGGTGCAAAAATAGTAGATTGTGTGCAAATTTTATCACCACCACGTTAAGATTAAAAGGTTGTTTTGAGAAAAGCTCTTAGCTCAACAGCAACAAATCTAAGTACATAAAACAAAGTAGAAAATGTAGCAACTAATAAAGGAAGCAATGCAAAACCTATGTTAAAAAAACAAAATAAAAATAAAAATAGTGCGATAAGCAACACACTATACAACAAATAATGATATATATCAAAAGTCTAACCCCTCAAATAGAAAAAATTATTCTTCACTATCTACTAATCTTCTATCATCGTACGCGACTTTCATACCATATTATCTTAAGGTCATATTATTCATAAGTTGAAAATATGTCATATTTGCCTAATCACCTCTTTCTAATACTTCTTTGACATGTCACCTATCTCTTTACTCCTCGACTTCACTACTACAACCTAATGATACATTATCTCTCAAAAATTATATATTTTCTAAGAAAAAAAAGGTTAAATACTTAAATGAAATTTCATCAACCTAAATATATTTAAATAATTTAAAAGAAAAGTATATATTAAAAAACTCAAATAAAAAAGACAAGTTCTCATAAACTAAATATTACAAATAAGTTATATATTTAAAGTGCACTAAAGTTTCTTTTTTATTTTTCATCCAATTCAATATTCGATATATATATTAGAGCCTAACTAAATTCGAATTTGCATTAAAAAGTAACTAAACTAATTACAATTATTAGTGAATATATCTTATGAAATGACTATAGTAATTACAATTATTAGTAAGTATATCTTACTAAATAGTAAATAATTTGTAATCATTTTCTATATATCTTATTAAAAGGGGGGAAAAAAAAGAAAAAAGAACTCCCAATTAATATTTCTCAAAAGAAAAAATGTATAAACAAAAGGTAGGGAACAGGATATCTTCCATGAGACCCACCTCATGGAATGACCTACCAACAAAAAATTCCAAGTGACACTCACCAACTTTGCTAAACAACTTTGTTGACACCTCAACCCACCAGCCACCATTGTCTTCCCTATTTTTATTGCTTCCACTTTCTTCTATAACTCTACTGTACTTTTTATTTTCCATTTTCCCCTAATACATACAATACAAGTGTTGGCACAGCTCTACATCCAAAGCAGATTCCTAAAAGAAAAAAATGGCTACAAAGTTGTGGGCTTCAAGGGCTGCTTCATATCTCAGGATCTCAGCATTTCACAGGGCTTTTGCCACTGGTAATGGAGTTGTATTATTGTTTCTGGAATTACCCTCTTACCCTTTTGTTCGAATGCTTTGAGTTATGTGGATCTTGGTTATGTCAGTAATTTTTTTGTTCAAGATTTTGCTTGATCTGTTATTTTCTTGATTAAAGATCCGATTTTTGGAAGTGGGGTGTGGAGTTTGTGTGATTTCTTGGATCAGCAGAAGGATTTGTTGGGTTTTTGATAGATTTGTATTTCATGTTTTTGATTTTGTACTCTTGTCACCTTTTTATTTTATTAATATTATGGGATGTATCCAGGATTTTAGCAAGGTGTTTGTTTTGTATGGAGATGATGATTGGGATATATTGCTGTCCCTTGCTTTGTGCATTGTTTTTCTTTTATATAATCAGTGGAAGGGTTATTGTGTTGGAGGTTTCTTCTTTATTCTTGGTTATGCAATATGTCACCTTTGGTAGTCTGAAGTGTTTCAAGGTTGTTGTAGGGTATTTTTTTTTGTGTGTGTGTTTAGAGAAATCTGTAGGGTATTGTGTGTTCTTCAATCTTTTTGCAGATGTTGATTGAGGACTGATTTTTTTTGTTTTTGCTCTGTGAATCTGTCTTCTTAGATGTATATGTATTTTTTATGATGTGGACTTGGGGGGTTAATTTCTTAGGCGGTGCTCAACGAATAGTTATTATCTCCTCCTTGTTTCCAACTTTCTTCAACAAAGAAAGTCAAAGATAGTAACTATTGGTTGAGTGACTCTCCGCTAAATCAAATCGGAGCTTATGCTTATTTCTGATATATCATCAGTCATGTAGGATTGAAGATGATAACGCAATGAGGACTAGAGCTCTTTTTAATTTTAATGACTAAATTTTTGGACGTTTTATAATTTGACTAACTTTGGATAATGGTAGTAAATTGTCACACTGCATCAACAAATTCAGAGTAATTGTTTTCACTTCCATCACTGTATACTGCATCCATGTTTCTACTTGTTTTGTTTGCATTAATGTATTTCGAATAAAAGAAGTTCTAAAGCAGGTATCTATGAAGATAATTTGAATCATGTCCCATCATAATTGTTATTCTGTTCCTTCAAGTGCCGACCTCTCTAGTAGCTGGTTGTGAACTGCAGATTCTCCATGGTTTACAGGAATAGCTGAACAATTTTTTGTGGACTGTAACCATGTGAGATTCTCCAGTCACACGCCTTGTATATTTCTCTGTCCTCTATAGTTACATTGCAAAACTAAGGCATCTTGTAGTATGTGTGAGTTTTGTTCATAATATATGTAGAGAACATGCTAAATACCTATTCAGGTGTGTTAGCTTAGCGGACGATCTGGATAGAGTTGGCAAGCTAATTCTGTTGTTATAAGTTAAGTGTTGAGTTTGATTCATATATATTGATTCGGACATGTTTGATCCTTCCAGATATGAGTTGTGGGGAGCCTAGCTTAAAATCTACAGTATCCTTCAGACCTTGAACCTTAAAAATAAGAAGGCGTCAAGGAAAATGAATTTAATGATAGCCTATTCCGATTGCTACGTGTTGACATTTTCCAATTAAGTTGGACACAAAATGTTGATATAATTTTTTTGTGATAACATGTGCTCGAAATATTTATACAATCTAAATAATTATAAAGGTTTATTTCTTTGTGCAAATTATGTTCATAGATGTTGTCAATATCCTGAATTATGCATATGCAAATTTTAGAGTGCTTTTGCTTCATATGGTGTTGCTATTGAT